ATCGCTTACGTTCATCCATGCGTGAACTGCATTTTACTGCCACACGCGCACAAACTAACAAGCGTTACTACCAAAAGATCTGGCAACTTGTTCACACGTGTGGCTACGAAATCATGCAGTCCGCAGGCCCCTACAGCCACCGTACGAAGGGCCATTTGAGGTGATCGCTAGAACAGCAAAACATCATATGATCAACAGGAATGGTAAAGTCGATGTAGTTTCGGTAGACCGACTCAAGCCAGCGTATATCGAACAACCTTGTGAACAACAATCAACAGGTTCTAAAAACACCATATGTACGCAAGAGTCATCAAAGCACTTTGAAAATGATCCTCAGTCATCAACATCTAAAGATAAGCCAAAAGAGACTAGTACGCGGCAAACACGGTCAGGTAGAAATGTTCATTTTCCAGACCTTCTAGTGTATTAGACATCTTGAGAATAACAACTTGCCCTGCTGTCTATCGTGTTATACTACGTGCTGTCAGTTTTCTTTCCGGTGTGTTGCTTTCCATTGTTTGCCAAGAGAGGAACGAGCAACCTTGGCACGAATAAGAACATTCTCATGCCTACAAAGGACAGAAGGATTGCGTCGGACAACACCTGCAACTTAAACATCCTTGTTGCACTACAACATTCTGCTCCCACATTTTCATTGTATCTTAGCTAAAAACTTTACCTGCATGCCTCCTGTGCCTCAGCCTCGGGCATTTTAAGCGACACTGTATCAGGTAGAGGTCAGTTTTCCCGGCAATTCCCACCGGGATTTTTACTCCTGGTCGCTTATCACCGTGCGGTTACCGCACTGGTGGGGAGGTATGTAGGAGCTTTAACTTATTCTGCTATTTTTAGCTTATCTCTCTTCGCACAGGGAAGATACTAGCCACAATCATGTGACTTTCTAACCACAGCATTCAAAAGCTATTGATGTGCATACAATCAATAGACAACTTACTTTGAACTCTGGCTTATACCATCTAGCCAACTACCACCTGTGTTTTCCCTGTGCAATCTTTCTGCCCTACTGTCGTAGTGTATTTTCGGGAGCCTCCCAAAATATATCATTGGGATACCAACAAGATTTTATTTCTAACATCCAGTAAGGACGACGGGACATGGCTATTTTCGGACTCCGCACCTAGTCAGCGCTCCTACAAATTGGAGACCCCGACGTGAGTTCGTTCTATCGGATTCAGCTTCCATCATCCGGTGAGTCGTGTCCATTTTCGTCGTTCTTTTTATTGCTTTCATGTATGCGAATATGATCGATCAGCAAACTGGGGAGGTTAACACCGTATCTACCAGCTGTTTACCAACATTTTGGACACAATATACCCAGCTTTAGTTTTTTCAGGCCGAGTCACCTTTTGTAATTAATCGCATACATAGGGATGTTTTAAAAGTTCATTATGTGATCTCTAAGCTCCCACCTGAATTATTACTCCTGGCACAGGATATCCTGAAAGCAAGCCCCACATACCAGCAACTAAGGGACTTTTTAATTCGCGAGCTTAGCCTTAGTGAGCGTAAGAGAGTGCAACGTCTATTTATAGAAGAACAGTTAGGCGATCGCACTCCTACGCAACTATTGCGAGCCATGCAAGCTCTGGTAGGTGACAGCCTCCAGAGAATTCCATCTTTAGGCAGTTATTTTTGCAACGGCTCCCTACACACGTACAACAAATACTGGCTAACGCTCATCAGGATACCGACTTGAAAGACCTAGCCCTTATGGCTGATAAAATAATGGAAATACAAGCGCCCACGATCTCAATTTCTTCGCCTCCTATAACTGACGACTCGCTTGTAAAAGCTGTGCACTCCCTGCAGCAGCAACTGGCTTCCATTTCCATCACCCACCGAAACCGTAATTCTCGGTCAGGCCAGCGGCGTATTCGCAGCGCTAGTCGTTCACGTGGCATTTGTTGGTATCACCGTAGGTTCCGTAACAAAGCTCGGAAATGCATAAAGCCGTGTCGATTTTCCATTTCGGGAAACGAACACGCCAGCTCGTAATGGCGACGACGCAAGCTGGCATATGCGAGCCAGGTCGCCTCTTTTATCTGCGAGACGTAAGATCTGGCATGCGATTCCTCGTAGACACTGGTGCCCAAGTCAGTGTGGTTCCTCCACGTCCGGAGAACTTAAAGCACTGCTCTGTATACAGCCTGCAGGCAGTAAACGGCACGCCAATCCGATCCTATGGAGAACGTTCTATCACGCTGAACCTTGGTCTCCGTAGGCCTTTTCCTTGGATTTTCATTGTACCTAAAGTGCCAACTGCAATTCTAGGCCTCGATTTCTTTCAGCATCATGGCACTATCGTAGATCCCAAGCGCTGCCAAATCATTGATGGCCTAACGCAAATATCTCGGGCTGGTTTTAAAGGGTCCATTATGTCTATGAGACCGCAGCTTGCCCCACCACGAGCCACTCCAAAGTACCTGGATTTGTTACGAGTGTCTAACAGCTTAACAAAGCCTGGATACCAACCCGGTGATGTCAAACATGAGATCGTACATAGGATAACGACAAAGGTAGTCCACTCTACCATCGTCCGCGGCGTTTAGCGCCAGATAAACTTTCCGTAGCGCTGAATTCGACCATATGCTACAATTGGGCATAATACGTCCATCCAGCAGTACATGGGCATCGCCCTACATATGGTCCCGAAAAACAAGCCTGGGGATTGGAGACCTTGTGGGGATTATCGGGGACTAAACGCTATCACCGTCCCAGACAGGTATCCCATTCCGCATCTCCAGGATTTCTCTTCCTCGCTATACGGAAAACAAGTGTTCAGTAAGATAGATTTAGCACGAGCATATTACCAAATTCCTGTCCATCCTCAAGATGTTCATAAGACTGCCGTTACCACACCTTTTGGCTTATTTGAGTTCTTGCGAATGCCATTTGGTCTCCGCAATGCAGCTCAAACATTTCAGCGTTTTATGGATCAGGTTATTCGTGAGCTCGATTTTGTTTTCGTCTACATTGACGATGTCTTGGTTGCAAGTTATAACCATGACGAACACTTGCGTCATCTGCGACAACTGTTCGAGCGATTTGCGCATTATGGGGTGGTTATCAATGTCTCCAAGAGTCAGTTTGGTGTTGATACGGTAGACTTTCTTGGTCACCGTGTTTCCTCCGCCGGAATTACACCCCTACCCGACAGAGTGACGACCATCACTTAATACCCTATCCCCGATTCCATCAAAAAGTTACGTAGGTTTGTAGGCATGGTTAACATCAACAGACGTTTCAACCCACACTGCTCTGAGTTAGCCCAGCCACTTAACGAGCTAATCAAACTAGATGCCAAATCATTCAGCTTCACGAGAGCAGCTAAGCATTCAAAGTTGAAAACATCAGCTAGCAACTGCCACTCTCCTCGTGCATCTTGATCCTAAGGCACCGTTACAGTTAACGGTGGCCGCTTCAGATGCAGCAGTATGTGGTGTGCTCCAACAGCGACAGGGAGATGAATTGCATCCAATTGCCTTTTTCTCTAAGAAACTGCAGCCTGCCAAACGACGTTATAGTGCGTTCAGCAGAGAACTCCTGGCTATTTATCTCAATGTGCGTTATTTCCGAATTACTTTGAAGGGCGTACATTCACGATATTCACCGATCACAAGCCGCTAACGTATGTACTGCGTTCTGCTTCTGATCAACTTTCCCCACGAGAAACTAGACAACTAGATTATATCTCCCAATTTACCTCCGACATTCGGCATTTGTCCGGTGTGAACAACACCGTAGCAGATGCCCTATCACGGGCGGAAATCAATACCCTCCTTGAGCATTCCCCCATTGATCTTCAAGAACTAGCCACAACACAGCATCAGGATAAGCAGTTTCTTCAACAACTGCGAGAAACCAATCTACAGGTGAAACCCATCCAGCTGCCTGATAGTTCGGATGTTCTGATGTGTGACGTTTCTACAGGAAAGCCACGACCTGTAGTTCCATCGACCTATCGGCGAATCATTTTGATTCACTACATGGTCTATCACATCCAGGCATCCGTGCAACGCGCAAACTCATTTCCGACCGTTTTGTGTGGCCGGCACTGAACAAAGACGTGCAGACCATGGTGAGGAATTGTCTCCCATGTCAACGTTCAAAAGTGCACCGCCATACACAGGCACCACTTGGCGAGTTCACCGTTCCCGATGCTCGTTTTAGTCACGTGCACATCGACACCGTCGGTCCGCTGCCGCCGTCGAGTGGATTTAAGTACCTACTTACTTGTATCGATCGTTACACTCGTTGGCCCGTGGCAGTACCCATCGCGGACATTTCCGCAGAGACGGTAGCACGTAACTTTGTGGCTCATTGGATCGCACATTATGGTGTCCCATCCACCATAACAACGGATCGCGGTGCGCAATTTGAATCAACCCTCTTTCGAGACCTCACTACTATCCTCGGAGCTAAACGAATAAGAACAACTGCGTACCATCCAACAGCGAACGGGTTAGTCGAACGTTTTCACCGCCACCTCAAAACATCTTTGATGGCATGTTCTGACACTACCCGTTGGACAGAAAACTTACCGCTGGTTCTATTAGGTCTACGAACGACGTTTAAAGCTGATTTAGGTTGCTCTGCCGCGGAGCTGGTATACGGTACCACGCTAAAGCTCCCGGCTGACCTCGTTCAACCAATCGACGTCAACGCTCTAGATCCCTCAAACTTTGTTCATCGCTTACGTTCATCCATGCGTGAACTGCATTTTACTGCCACACGCGCAAAAACTAACAAGTGTTACATACCAAAAGATCTGACAACTTGTTCACATGTGTGGCTACGAAACGATGCAGTCCGCAGGCCTCTACAGCCACCGTACGAAGGGCCATTTGAGGTGATCGCTAGAACAGAAAAACATCATATGATCAACAGGAATGGTAAAGTCGATGTAGTTTCGGTAGACCGACTCAAGCCAGCGTATATCGAACAACCTTGTGAACAACAATCGACAGGTTCTAAAACACCATATGTACGCAGGAGTCATCAAAGCACTTTGAAAATGATCCTCAATCATCAACATCTGAAGCTAAGCCAAAAGAGACTAGTACGCGGCAAACACGGTCAGGTAGAAAAGTTCATTTTCCAGACCGTCTAGCGTATTAGACATCTTGAGAATAACAACTTGCCGTGCTGTCTATCGTGTTATAATACCTGCTGCCAGTTTTCTTTCCTGCTTGTTGCTTTCCAGTGTTTGCCAGGAGAGGAAAGAACAACCTTAGCACGAATAAGAAGATTCTCATGTCGACAAAAGGCAGAAGGATTGCGTCGAACAACACTCGCAACTCAAAACATCCTTGTTGCACTACTACATTCTGCTCACACATTTTCATTGTATCTTAGCTAAAAATTTACCTGCATGCCCCCTGTGCCTCAGCTTCGGACATATTAAGCGTCACTGTATCAGGTAGAGGTCAGTATTCCCGGCAGTTCCCACCGGGCTTTTTTACTCCTGGTCGCTTATCACAAAGCGGCTACCGCACTGGTGGGGAGGTACATAGGAGCTTTAACTTATTCTGCTATTTTTAGCTTATTTCTCTTCGCACAGGGAAGATACTAGCCACAATCATGTGACTCTCTAACCACATCATTCAAAAGCTATTGATGTGCATACAATCAATAGACAACTTGGTTTGAACTCTGGCTCATACCATCTAGCCAACTACCACCAGTGTTTTCCCTGTGCAATCTTTCTGCCTAACTGTCGTAGTGTATTTTCGGGAGCCCCCAAAATATATCATTGGGATACCAACAAGATTTTCTTTCCAACATCCAGTAAGGACGACGGGACATGGCTATTTTCGGACTCCGCACCTAGTCAGCGCTCCTACAAATTGGTGACCCCGACGTGAGTTCGTTCTATCAGATTCAGCTTTCATCATCCGGTGAGTCGTGTCCATTTTCGTCGTTCTTTTTATTGCTTTCATGTATGCGAATATGATCGATCAGCAAACTGGGGAGATTAACACCGTATCTACTAGCTGTTTACCAACATTTTGGATACAATATCCCCAGCTTTGGTTTTTCAGGCCGAGTCATTTTTTGAAATTAATCGCATACATAGGGATGTCTTAAAAGTTCATTATGTGATCTCTAAGCTCCCACCTGAATTATTACTCCTGGCACAGGATATCCTGAAAACAAGCCCCACATACCAGCAACTAAGGGACTTTTTAATTCGCGAGCTTAGCCTTAGTGAGCGTAAGAGAGTGCAACGTCTACTTATAGAAGAACAGTTAGGCGATCGCACTCCTACGCAACTATTGCGAGCCATGCAAGCTCTGGTAGGTGACAGCCCTCCAGAGAATTCCATCTTTAGGCAGTTATTTTTGCAACGGCTCCCTACACACGTACAACAAATACTGGCTAACGCTCATCAGGATACCGACTTGAAAGACCTAGCCCTTATGGCTGATAAAATAATGGAAATACAAGCGCCCACGATCTCAACTTCTTCGCCTCCTATAACTGACGACTCGCTTGTAAAAGCTGTGCACTCCCTGCAGCAGCAACTGGCTTCCATTTCCATCACCCGCCGAAACCGTAATTCTCGGTCAGGCCAGCGGCGTATTCGCAGCGCTAGTCGTTCACGTGGCATTTGTTGGTATCACCGTAGGTTCCGTAACAAAGCTCGGAAATGCATAAAGCCGTGTCGATTTTCCATTTCGGGAAACGAACACGCCAGCTCGTAATGGCGACGACGCAAGCTGGCATATGCGAGCCAGGTCGCCTCTTTTATCTGCGGGACGTAAGATCTGGCATGCGATTCCTCGTAGACACTGGTGCCCAAGTCAGTGTGGTTCCTCCACGTCCGGAGGACTTAAGGCACTGCTCTGTATACAGCCTGCAGGCAGTAAACGGCACGCCTATCCGAACCTATGGAGAACGGTCTATCACGCTGAACCTTGGTCTCCGTAGGCCTTTTCCTTGGATTTTCATTGTAGCCAAAGTGCCCACTGCCATTCTAGGCCTCGATTTCTTCCAGCATCATGGCATTATTGTCGATCCCAAGCGCTGCCAAATCATTGATGGCCTAACGCAAATATCTCGGGCTGGTTTTAAAGGGTCCATTATGTCTATGAGTCCGCAGCTTGCCCCACCACGAGCCACTCCAAAGTACTTGGATTTGTTACGAGAGTTTAACAGCTTAACAAAGCCTGGATACCAACCCGGTGATGTCAAACATGAGATCGTCCATAGGATAACGACAACAGGTAGTCCAGTCTACCATCGTCCGCGGCGTTTAGCGCCCGATAAACTTTCCGTAGCGAAGGCTGAATTCGACCATATGCTACAATTGGGCATAATACGTCCATCCAGCAGTACATGGGCATCGCCCCTACATATGGTCCCGAAAAACAAGCCTGGGGATTGGAGACCTTGTGGGGATTATCGGGGACTAAACGCTATCACCGTCCCAGACAGGTATCCCATTCCGCATCTCCAGGATTTCTCTTCCTCGCTATACGGAAAACACGTGTTCAGTAAGATAGATTTAGCACGAGCATATTACCAAATCCCTGTCCATCCTCAAGATGTTCATAAGACTGCCGTTACCACACCTTTTGGCTTATTTGAGTTCTTGCGAATGCCATTTGGTCTCCGCAATGCAGCTCAAACATTTCAGCGTTTTATGGATCAGGTTATTCGTGAGCTCGATTTTGTTTTCGTCTACATTGACGATGTCTTGGTTGCAAGTTATAACCATGACGAACACTTGCGTCATCTGCGACAACTGTTCGAGCGATTTGCGCATTATGGGGTGGTTATCAATGCCTCCAAGAGTCAGTTTGGTGTTGATACGGTAGACTTTCTTGGTCACCGTGTTTCCTCCGCCGGAATTACACCCCTACCCGACAGAGTGACAACCATCACTGAATACCCTATCCCCGATTCCCTCAAAAAGTTACGTCGGTTTGTAGGCATGGTTAACTTCTACAGACGTTTCATCCCACACTGTTCTGAGTTAGCCCAGCCACTTACCGAGCTACTCAAATTAGATGCCAAATCATTCAGCTTCACGGAATCAGCTAAGCGGGCATTCAGTGATCTAAAACATCAGCTAGCAACTGCCACTCTCCTCGTGCATCTTGATCCTAAGGCTCCGTTACAGTTAACGGTGGACGCTTCAGATGCAGCAGTAGGTGGTGTGCTCCAACAGCGACAGGGAGGTGAATTGTATCCAATTGCCTTTTTCTCTAAGAAACTGCAGCCTGCCGAACGACGTTATAGTACGTTCAGCAGAGAACTCCTAGCTATTTATCTCAATGTGCGTCATTTCCGACATTACTTGGAAGGGCGTACATTCACGATATTCACCGATCACAAGCCGCTAACGTATGTACTGCGTTCTGCTTCTGATCGACTTTCCCCACGAGAAACTAGACAACTAGATTATATCTCCCAATTTACCTCCGACATTCGGCATTTGTCCGGTGTGAACAACACCGTAGCAGATGCCCTATCACGGGCGGAAATCAATACCCTCCTTGAGCATTCCCCCATTGATCTTCAAGAACTAGCCACAACACAGCATCAGGATAAGCAGTTTCTTCAACAACTGCGAGAAACCAATCTACAGGTGAAACCCATCCAGCTGCCTGATAGTTCGGATGTTCTGATGTGTGACGTTTCTACAGGAAAGCCACGACCTGTAGTTCCACCGACCTATCGGCGAATCATTTTTGATTCACTACATGGTCTATCACATCCAGGCATCCGTGCAACGCGCAAACTCATTTCCGACCGTTTTGTGTGGCCGGCACTGAACAAAGACGTGCAGACCATGGTGAGGAATTGTCTCCCATGTCAACGTTCAAAAGTGCACCGCCATACACAGGCACCTCTTGGCGAGTTCACCGTTCCCGATGCTCGTTTTAGTCACGTGCACATCGACACCGTCGGTCCGCTGCCGCCGTCGAGTGGATTTAAGTACCTACTTACTTGTATCGATCGTTACACTCGTTGGCCCGTGGCAGTACCCATCGCGGACATTTCCGCAGAGACGGTAGCACGTAACTTTGTGGCTCATTGGATCGCACATTATGGTGTCCCATCCACCATAACAACGGATCGCGGTGCGCAATTTGAATCAACCCTCTTTCGAGACCTCACTACTATCCTCGGAGCTAAGCGAATAAGAACAACTGCGTACCATCCAACAGCGAACGGGTTAGTCGAACGTTTTCACCGCCACCTCAAAACATCTTTGATGGCATGTTCTGACACTACCCGTTGGACAGAAAACTTACCGCTGGTTCTATTAGGTCTACGAACGACGTTTAAAGCTGATTTAGGTTGCTCTGCCGCGGAGCTGGTATACGGTACCACGCTAAAGCTCCCGGCTGACCTCGTTCAACCAATCGACGTCAACGCTCTAGATCCCTCAAACTTTGTTCATCGCTTACGTTCATCCATGCGTGAACTGCATTTTACTGCCACACGCGCACAAACTAACAAGTGTTACATACCAAAAGATCTGACAACTTGTTCACATGTGTGGCTACGAAACGATGCAGTCCGCAGGCCTCTACAGCCACCGTACGAAGGGCCATTTGAGGTGATCGCTAGAACAGCAAAACATCATATGATCAACAGGAATGGTAAAGTCGATGTAGTTTCGGTAGACCGACTCAAGCCAGCGTATATCGAACAACCTTGTGAACAACAATCGACAGGTTCTAAAAACACCATATGTACGCAGGAGTCATCAAAGCACTTTGAAAATGATCCTCAATCATCAACATCTAAAGCTAAGCCAAAAGAGACTAGTACGCGGCAAACACGGTCAGGTAGAAAAGTTCATTTTCCAGACCGTCTAGCGTATTAGACATCTTGAGAATAACAACTTGCTGTGCTGTCTATCGTGTTATACTACCTGCTGCCAGTTTTCTTTCCTGCTTGTTGCTTTCCAGTGTTTGCCAGGAGAGGAAAGAACACCCTTAGCACGAATAAGAACATTCTCATGTCGACAAAGGACAGAAGGATTGCGTCGGACAACACCTGCAACTTAAACATCCTTGTTGCACTACAACATTCTGCTCCCACATTTTCATTGTATCTTAGCTAACAACTTTACCTGCATGCCTCCTGTGCCTCAGCCTCGGGCATTTTAAGCGACACTGTATCAGGTAGAGGTCAGTTTTCCCGGCAATTCCCACCGGGTTTTTTACTCCTGGTCGCTTATCACCGTGCGGCTACCGCACTGGTGGGGAGGTATGTAGGAGCTTTAACTTATTCTGCTATTTTTAGCTTATTTCTCTTCGCACAGGGAAGATACTAGCCACAATCATGTGACTCTCTAACCACATCATTCAAAAGCTATTGATGTGCATACAATCAATAGACAACTTGGTTTGAACTCTGGCTCATACCATCTAGCCAACTACCACCAGTGTTTTCCCCGTGCAATCTTTCTGCCTAACTGTCGTAGTGTATTTTCGGGAGCCCCCCAAAATATATCATTGGGATACCAACAAGATTTTCTTTCCAACATCCAGTAAGGACGACGGGACATGGCTATTTTCGGACTCCGCACCTAGTCAGCGCTCCTACA